TTTAAGAAGAGTCCTTCCTTCTTTCCACTGTCACAAAACTGATCTGTCTGTTACAGAGGATCTTGCCTCTGGCTTGCACAGAAAGTCTGAAGATTAATTAAGCTTCTGGCTTCTGGATATATCTCATAAGACCAAATATTTATCGAAGTCCTTCCCAGAAAGAACACCTCGCACTCATTGTGTCATTTATAACCTCTCTGGTTTGGGCCACTCCACAGAGGCCTTAGCTCATTCACTACGGAAAAGAATCTTCTTTTGCCATCTTCTGGTTTGCCTGTCCTGAGATACGTACAGCATTAGCTGTTCTAGGGTACGCTATCCCCAGGCCACCAGAGCGTGGAGGAACATGTTGGCATCTCTAAACTGAGACGTCCTTCTGTTTCCAGTGTGTAGGCATCCTCCTCACATGGCTTCTCTTCAATCAAGGCTCTGCAAGGAAACGTGTAACTACTGACCTCACCTCACATTTCCCAGTACAAAACAGTCTCTGTGTACTGCACGCCTTAACCGCTGTGGCTCTACTAGCACATGTGGTCACATAGAAACAACTAACTGGAAAAGCTTGGTGACACTAACAGACATAAATATAGATGTTCTTTTTCACTGACTACTACTATTATGATATCATATAGTATCCATACGCACCTTTGCATAAACACTGCTATTATATTTGCGTTTGTGTTCTCCCATAACATTTCTTCTTAGAATATGGAGAAAAATAAAGAATTTCAAACTGACAACTCCGGAGAGATTTGAAAGAGCTTTTCAGGAACAGAAATGGCTTACTACAGACACAGCACACTACCACAAGTTAAACGCAGATTGGATAGAAAACCAGTCTTAAGCAACCCTGCATCAGAAGTTCCCTCTGGGCATGATCACACTAGTGCTAATTCTCATCTTTGAAATGCATCGTGTAGAAGGTGCTGGACTGTCATTATCGAGAGATGAAAGCACAGGTGAAGCACTGATAGAGCACACCGTATAAGCCAGGTATATTCTTGGAAATGAAATGGGTAGACTGGCATTTCAGAAAGGTTTCTAGCTAAATTCCTAGACTCTACAAAACTGTTTTCCTTGTTAACTACTTTTTGTGAAGCAAGAAAAGTGGTTAGAAAAGAAATTTCACAGTATGTTAAATACTTAATCTTTTACATACTAGCATAGAAGGAAGCTTAAGTGTACCTTTATAAATGATACTAGCAAATAAAATCGGTACCTTCGTTCCTAGATCCCTCCTAATCAACCCCCTTACAAATCAAAACATACACAGCCAGCAATGCAGTGCATTCATGCACCACGAGAAAAGTTGCGTTTACATGGAATGAAAGCAAACATCCAGAAAAGAACCCTCAGCTTACGCAAAAATTACAGAATTAACAGAAGATTATTATCTTTCTGCTCAGCTGTTTGAAGCTCACAAAAAACGTAACGAAAGTATAACTGATTTATCTAACATAAAGTTATGGATTTGTTACGAAAAACCTATATGGGAAGGACATTATCTTCTCTTAGTTCTGTCATTTGGGATGTTTTTGGTTTTTAACAGAATCCTAATAGTAAGGTCTTCCCTAGGAGGTTTTATTTCTTCCAAGGATTTCTATTAACAAGGAGTAAAGTGTCAGACTACTACAAACACTACCTTTTAACGTATAGGATGAGGAAAGTCTTTTCCTCTTAAAAGTGAAAATCTGAAATGCACTTGTGAGCCACAGCTAATGAAACAAATTCTTTATGAGCTAGGACTCTAGATGTACTCTATTTAATTTGAGAACTTGTTTCTTGGACACAGATGCGGGAAAAAAAGTCGCGATTCCGTGACTGCCTAACTTCAAGCACATCAGAAGACTTGGTTACTCCCAGGGAAACACCCAAGTGCTGAAAGCTAGCAGAATGCCTGAGTGCTTGGCTGACTGAAGCACATACAGAGCAATGCAAACAACTAGTATCAAAGAACTCAATTCTTGCACGCAGTCTCATCAATCTCAGTGGAAAAGCAGAACTGAACAACAGCTACAGAATCAAATATACGTAGCAATGGGATAAGACTATTAAAACACAAGCAGACTCCAATCCACTTACCAAAACACTGTGTCATCCCCCATCTTCCTTTTCTCAGCCAACTACTACCAAGGCTCAATTTGCCTGCTTGACAGGGTGTAACCCCGGCCTTGCCTTGCTGTTGGTACTGGTGTTTCCCCCCCAGTGTTTCTCTCTTCTCTTCTGTCTTAACATCTGGGTAACATTTGGTGCACAGACAAATCACAGTGATGTATGTAAACAGAGACAAACATACACAATCATCACCACTAGTAAATTCTGTTCAAACACTTGGAAAAAAGCAAGAAGAGCTGATGTGCACTTCACTTGAATAAGGGTATTTTAATGTTGGAAAGTCACAGACAGTGACAGAGATTATAACATTAACAGAGTGCAATAAATTCCTCTAAGGCTTGTGGCTATAACACAAGTATAGAGAGAGCAGGAATATGCTGTGAGAGTAGCTACTTAATTTTGTTGGCAGCTGTTCTCCTGGCATTTGCCAGCTGCTGGCATGTTTGTCCCCTTCATTTTAACCAAGCAGAAAGCCAGTGTCTGTTTAACTCCAACATGATAGGATTGTAATTACTTGTAATGCCTTTATAGCATCAGCTTTTAATTAGTCATATTTTTTTTTCCAAAACATTCAGATTTCATGCTGAAAGTTTTCTGGGTTTTAGCAAATCTTTTACAACTTTGTATTATTTGTTCTCTGAGTTGAGACCTTTCTGAAGAATTATCCATCCACACTCAGAACTAATGGCAACCAAACTACAGAATAAACAATAAACATCCTAAACTTATGGACATAGTACTTGTTATGGAAACAACCCCTTCTGAACACCAGAAACCCTGAATCCTTGCTTTGAGGAAAAAGGCACTGGCTGAAGGACTCATCAGTGCTCAGCAGTTGCCTGTTATATCCAAGCAAACTAATTAAATCTGCTCATCTCTGGAAAATCATCCTGGCATGAATAGTCACAGACTGCAAAATCTCACTATAACACACAATCTTCTCAAGAAGTAATTTCAAAGACAGACAGCTGACTCATAGTATTGGGAATCAGGGGGCAAAAAATCCTCTGAAGGCACCAAAAGAGTAAATAAAATTAAGATGGAAGAAAAAAAAATTTCTGAGATCTGCAATTTTTGCAATATTTCGTAACCTCTTGAAAAATCAAGGGTTTGATTTGGATGAGAAAAAAATTAAAGTCTTTGTTTTTCCTCTGATGAAATGCATTTCAACATAAACAGATGTGCTGTTGCTCATTAAATCAACCTGGTGTAAGGCCATCCCCAGCAAATCCAGTAGGAAAGGTACACCTTCATTCTCTTCCAGACCTTAGTCCTTGAAGAACATCCAGTTGCTCTGTGGAGCTGCGCCTGTTGCTTTAACCCAGTCAAGCACTCTGAGCTACCAAATGAATCAATACGCAAAAATCTACCCTCCTCTGTGCACTTCACATGGCTGCCTTGTGGTCTCATTTTCCTTTGGTGTAAATTCAAACCCTAATCAAATAGGTAAAGGAAGATGCTTTGAAGGCAGATAATAAAGTGAGCAGCAAGAGGTTTATAAAAAATGAGAACTGTAAGTAGACAAAGAAAAGTAATTCCACATATCTAATACGGAGAGAAGGAAAAAAGCCAACACAGATCCAAAATGAGGATGGTGAGTCAGGCAACCAGTTTTGGCTCTGTGAAGTATTTCTTTACTGTTTTCCTGCAAACCACTTCCGAACCAGTTCATCCACTTCTGAGGGCACTCTGTCTCAGCAGAATCGACACAACTAATTTCTTTCTTTCTTAAGATGAGTACTGACCTTGAGGATCTATCTGCACACAACCAACCAACCAACCAAAGCCTGTCAGCGTATGAACTGAACTATGGAAGGGCTACAAGAGCAAGCCACTGCATCTGGGTTTGAGCAGAGTGGCTGGCAGCATGAGTGAACAAAAACAGAACTTGAGACTACACCCCAGAAGAAGGACATTGAGGATCACAGAAGTTTTTTGTGGAACAAGCTCCAGAAAGCGATGAAGATCAGGTGAGCGCGCATGTGCAGCCATGCTGCTAGCAGCAGAGTTACAAGCTGATCCTGTTGGGAAGCTCCAGGGTGCTAATCCTCACTGAAGAAAGATTCTAGGGGAGAGGGGAAAATATTTCTTTACAGGGAATGGACTCCATCTAGCAAACCTGAGCCACTGAGAATTAAGACGTGCAATTCACAAAGGAAAGACACTGCAAAATTTTTTGTTTAGAGATTTTTTTTTTCAGTCAGTTTAGATGTGTCCTACAACCCATAATCACCGTCAAAGGAGGGAGAAGGTAATCGTATCTGTTTGCATAACTGCAGCACCAGAAGGCTAGGATGCAAAGCAGTCTTGAGACCCCTGCCTGTTATCTAGGAATCCGTTCAGAAAGTACTCGCTGACAGTCTGGCAACACCAGTTACGACATTCTTGTTATGAGTAGACATACAAAGCAGAAATACAAAGTGGTATGTGTAAATAAGTGTATTTCATTAATAGAACCATGGAAATAGCAGTGGCATAATATGGTGAGTATGAATTCAACACAAGTGACCAATCAAATCATTTTCAGATATCAAAGCTCCCCGTTTTTTGATTATTTTTTTTTTTTTTGTAACCTTCACCTAAATTTACTGCAGAGTAAAGACTTTAACATCTGCTTGGATGATAATGTTTTCTCCTATGAAATTAGAAAAAATATTTTTAAATATTTAAGCCCAAGCTATCTTTCAGCTTCATAAATATAAAACATTTTTTTGTGACAAGTAACACATTATGACCTGGAAAAACAGTCTTAAAAATTTTTTGGGATGTTTCAGGAGCAGTCTAAATGTCTCAGTACCGATGACTTCTTTTTGGTATAAAGTTGAAAACTACAACAGATTATTTCAGTTTGGTCATTTGTTATATCACGACTACAGCCTTTTCCAATGCATATATTCATACAAAGTTTTGCAAAGAAATTCACCATTTGTTTCATTCTCTTCCTGTGTCTATATGCAGCAACCTAGAACATCTAAACTACCTACATAAATTGTGAGAGGAAATAATTCCATTCAAACAGATCTTTTCGTAAAAATACCCCGTGGGACTTTATTCCTGAAGAAATATCTTATTCCTATATCTTATACCCAGTGATACCGATAAGATTTCTATGAGAATAAACGGACGAAACTAGTCCTATCGTGTGCCTGTAGTGATTCAGAGATTCTTATTTCCAATCATAATTTGTAAGACAGAATCTTCCATGTTTCCTTTCCAATTCTAGGCAACTGACAAACAGCGCTAATCTAAACAAAATTTTTTAGCTTGCAGAGTAGAAGTGGCAATTGCTAATTTTTTTTTTCTTTTTTTTTCTTAAAGTACACTGTGCTACATTTATTCACAAGTCAAATTACTGTTAAAATCTTGCTAATTCCAGTGACAGCATAAAAATACTTTGCAGTTCTAGATGTGGTGAAAGACTTTGATTATACATACCTCTGAAAAGAAAACAGACAGGATGACTAGGCTGATCCAGTGAATTACTCCTGCAAACTGTGAAGCACTTGAAACTGTAATTAACATAATACAATGAAGCATCATTATAGTAGCAGAATGAAACTTAAATTTAATATAATTAGTACTGCTACAACTTACATATGGGTGAAGCTCACTTTCTTAAATTTTGCAATGGAAGTACCAGAAAGAGGATGGGATGTAATGGGACATGGAACTCCAGCCCTGTCTGTTGCTTGCCCTAATTCAGGCCAGCATGTTAGCAGCTGCAGCAGCTGTTCATTGCAGCTTTCATAGATGATAATAATGCTGGTAAGCAATGACATACATATTTTAGGTCTCTGATGCTCTGTCATTGCTCCATGCTCTCACTCCACACGCTGCTTTAGTACAAGATTTGTGACTAAATCCTGTATACCTAAAAATCCAGAGTCAGAATTCTGTAAGGAAACAGAATGCTCTACTATTCCCACGTTATTCCTTGTATTCAGCCTTTGACAATTCAGCTCAGAAGATCAGTAATTGTCTGGAATGAGTGCTTAAAAACTAATGCTCAAACTGGGCTCCAAAACACATTTCTAACATCTAAATAAATAACCAAGGCAGGTAGACTTTTGTACAGCTCTCTGGATGTGGCATGAACAGCCTTGACAGCTCAGGATCCTATTCCTCTCACAGTAAAGTTTGACTCTAGAGAAACCATAGTGACAGAAGCAACAGAAGAACCAACGCCATTGTTAATAAGATCAAATCTTAATACATTCATTTTAAGGAGTCTGTGAAATATAAGCAATTCTAATTTGTACAGCAAACAATGTGACTATTTTTGTACAGTCTGTTTCAGGAAACGTGGCTGCCATATGGACAGCTTTGCCTTCAAGCAAGCTTCTATGCGAACACTCCAGAAAGTTACAGTAAATGAAATAAAATTCCAGTTTAAGTAATTGGTTAAGACACACAATTTCCTTTGTAAGCACTCTTTTTCAGAAAGACAGTGATCATTAAAATCACTCATGTTCACTTCATTTCAAACTCCTCCATGAAAAGAAGTCTGTAAAGGGTAAGTTAAAATGGTAATTTATGAAACTCTAGATTCTACACACTCACTTCCCATATAGGTACTCTTTATGCAGGCAGATTGTTGAGGTAGTTACTCCACTTTCAAAGTGGAATGACTTTGCACAAAAGTCCTTTCAGGAAATGACTATCAGGAACACTTACCGGAATTCATTAAAAGTATGGTTTTAGAGAGTACTAAAGCCTTGCATGGACACTCCCTGGCACTAAATCAGGCTTTCATTTTATTCAACTTGTTTTGCTTGTAAGTAAAATGAAATAAACTCGGGCAAAAGAGTTTGCTGCAAGACTACATAAGCACCTCTATGATATGGGTTGTCTCTATGGGCTTAAATGAGTCTCTTGAAATATGGAGGATTCCTCAATAAGTAAGTTCAATTGAAATTTTGTGATCAAAGTTCCCTTCACTGCTCACAAAACAAAGCAGAAAGCTGAAAGGGTCCAGTATCTGAACTGCTGGCAACTCCTACTCTGGTCACATGCTCTCAAGTTTGCAATAAGGGAATGAAGAGAAAAAATTCTCTCTGTACTTCAGGGTATTTGTGAGCCTACCATCCCGATAGCAGACGGATTAAAATAGTCTGTGCAGCCTTGCAGTTTCAAAGAATTACTGTGTAACGGCAAAATTTAAGGCAATCAATGACTGTGTGCATAGAGATGCAAAACTGTGGCAGAATCAACTATGTCCCAAGAACACATAGGGCATGCACTACATAAAGCATCTTAATTTAAAATTAAAACTTATTAAAATGGGAAGGAGAGGGAAGGAATGTAGGAAGAAATCAGAATACAAAGAAAACTGTTAGTATGAGCTGCCACTGGAACTCTCATAGCTGAGGCTCATCTGGGGCTTGATGAGAGAGGGTTTGCTGTAGTGCAGCAAAGGAACTACTTAAAGACAAAAAAAAAGGGCAAAATTTCATATATAACTTTTCCAAGATATTGTCTTTATAGGGTGGCATAAAGAACAAGAAATATTTCCAAGAGCTGTCCATTGACATACAAGTCTCCAGCTGCCCCTTAGTGGACAAAAAAGATATAGCAACTACGAATTTGGAAAGAAAAGACATTTCTGATGCTGCATTAACTGTAGCAGAATGCTGGACACACTGCCAGACAGCAGGCAATTAAACTGCCAGTAAAACAGTAAATTTGAAAAAGCCTTCTAAGGAAGAAGCTTTTGTACAAGAGCTGAATCCCTAGCCCATACACTGAATCTAGATATTTGCCTCTTCCAAAACACTCCCTTTCAAAAATGCAGTGAAAAGCTACATCCCTGCTCTGTGGTGGTTCGGATACATCACTGGGATTCAGTTTGAGGCAAAGCACCTAAGCTGTTCAGCTTCTACTTTTATCCGGAACAGAATTTCACATCTGTTGGGCGCATAAGCTTTTTTTTCCCAAAATTACAGCTAAAAGTCAAAACGTTCTGCTTTATTGCACGTTTTGTTTGTCTGGTGCTATGGGGAAGAAGTGAACACGAATCCAGATGCTCTTTAGTCATGAAGAAGATGGTTCAGTATGAAGTGTGGAGTACAGCCAACCTCAGTCTAGCTCCTCCTCCCTTTCCCTCTCCTTCACATCTCCTCAAAATGTGTATCCAGGAGGGGAGGGATGAATAAATACACCCTGACAAACCCTGAGTGGCCATTATAGAAGCTTGTACTACCAGTGCTTCCTTTCAGTGGCTGTTGTTCTTGATGAAGATGTCCTGGCAGACACAACCTATGACTGCTTCCGCAAGGAGCAGACAGCAGATGCTCACTGCATGGTTTGGGCAAGCCCTGAACTCGTCCTTACTGAGGCATTGCTGCACGCAACCTGCGTTTTCTTTGCACAGCTATGCACGTACTCAGACAGGGCCCTGATCCAGCTACCAAATGGACAGGAGTGGAGCTTTTCAGCTTCAGAGTTTTCAGGAAGGTCTGATGCCTTTTGCAGACACACCTGCTGTAGTTGATTGCAGAAGGAGGGCAATACAATTTCCTGAGTTGCTTTCCCTCAAAACCATTGAAGATAAGGAAGGGACAGCATGGTCTATATTTCTGAGGAGCAGGGGCTGGAACCTGTCATGACTCTTCTTTTGAAATGAGGTGCAAGTGATTTAATATACATCTATTTCTGCATTTGCAAAACATCACAAGGTATTGAGATGTTATTTTGTTAATGCATGTGTGAAGAGCTTTGATGACAGGACTAAAAAAAGCTGATTATAGGACAGAGACATATAATAAAAGACCTATTACATGCCCCCTGCTTTCTGGGGTTTCTAATTCTGGCATGAATACGCTTTGTGCTAAAATAACCTAAAAGGTCTCTGTCCTTTTCATGTGTGTGACCTACACATTTGCAAACATGGTATCCATCACTGGCACTGACAGTTTTGTATATGGGAGAAGTGCACAGTGCAACCAAAGACTGCACTAAAAGCATCAGTGGAAAACGATGCTCTCAAAATGTCAGAGCCAAAGAAAACATCAGTTTGTTGTTGGTGTTTTTTTTTTTTAAAAGAAGGCTTCCTAAGTAATTACCATCTATAATGTGGATTAACAGTTGTTATTATGAACAAAATTGGCAGTGATGTGTCGTAACATATCCTTCCTAACGCATTGCTTGATTTCATATAGAATAAGGAATAATTTAAAACTGTAATTACATTTTTGAAAAACATAATTATGGCCTAATGGCTTTTTAAAACCTTAAGGTAAGTGACACACGTTCCTCATTTGACACAGCTGCAATACTTCTATCAGCCTCACCAAGACAGCCTTTATCTGATTTAAAACAAAATAGAAGGCATTCAACTTAAAGGCAGGAAGCCTGATGGGTTGATGCATTAGTTAAAATGCAAAGTAGCAACACAGAGCAGAACGGGTCCTTTCTCAGGTGCTGAGAAAAATCAATCCATACAGGCAGGGGCAGCCTCTGAACAGTGAAATCACCTGGCTTGATCAAGCACCTATAGGTCACGCACGAGGTGTAAGCTGCAGAGCTTTTAAGAGTATCACATGCACTAGACACATAGAGAAAGAATGATACCTAATGATAAAACAAAGTCTTTTTTAGAAGATTCTTCAGAAAATAAATGGTAAGAAAGCAGGTGCTTCAAGAGGAGAGCCTCCAAAACTGTTAAAAATCTAAGAGAAATAAACGGAAATGGTTTTTAAAACTCTCTGGCTCTACAGGAAGTGACATTTCTCTACATACACAGAAAGATGTGGCACCTCAATAAATATTGTTGAAAGCTTCTTCCTCATTCAATTTTAAAGGACTTACACCCATAATTAGCATTCCTGACTTTTTTTGAAGGCAGCAGACTTGCCCAAATTCTGGGCTTCCTCTTCCAAAATGGTAAATCACCAGAGACTAGAGAGTGGCCGTGTTCAGAACAGAGTGTGCAGTATGGACAAAGAGGGGTATAAATGGTAAGCAACGGTGTGGAAAGACAGATTAGTCATTTATTCATCTTATAGGGTTTATAAAATGGCTGCAATTATCAATAAAGTCCCCTAAAGTAATCTTAATACAATTGCAATACCTAAATCTTTACAGTGAAATCTAACTCCACTAGTATCAATTGATAAATCACTAAAGTAAAAGGACTTTAACAGAACAGAAGTTTGTTTGCTCAGTTTTAAGTCGCCATAGAAGACTCCAGACCATGACTCTTTCATGCTATACATTCTTGCATTTATGGGATTGTCTGAACCCATCACTGACATTTCAACATATCTGAGAATCTATGGAGATGCTAGAGGCTGTTCTTCAACATTTAGCATAGGGAAAAACGTGTTCATGTCAGGTTTGCATCATATAAGCAAAAAACAAAAACAAAAAGGAAATGGAGAAAAAGAGCAATAGAAAAAAAAATTAATTGGGAAGCAAAACAGCAGCATTAAAATTTCCATTGTGGAACCTGCGTAGAGTGAATTCAGATCAAGCAAAATTCTGTTTAAGCTATTGTTTGACTACCAGTGATGTAGCAGAGTAGAATGAAAATCTCTATCATTTCAGTGCGTTACAAGATAGAAATCCATAATTTCAATTCCTACCCACCTCAGTAGAAGTAAATCAATGATAAAGTTTGAACCAAATACCCTCGCAAGTTCATCACTTCTGTCTATCCATATACATATGAAAAGTATCAGAGATTAATGATGAACAAATGATCTTTCTTCTGCATATACAGAGTGCGTCTGTAAAGGACGGACCTTTTCAAGCACTAATGACAATACATGGGGATCTCTGCATGTACACTCCGCTTGTATCCTTCGAAAATTTATCCTATACTGAATTTGGTTGGAAAAAAAGGAAGAGACTGACTTCACTATACCAGGATTCCACAAAAACACATTTCTTACCTAGCCTAGTAATCATTTAAATGGTAGGAAAAAAAAAATCCCCACCATCCTCCCCCCTTCAAAAACCTCCCAGCAAGTTAAGCCTTTATTTCATCAAAATGAAAAAAAAAAAATAATAATCCTCCTACTCACACTGGAGAAGCTTTATATCTATTAGGAGTTCCAGAGTCAGAAGAATCACCACCAATACTACACAGGCTACCAGGAAACTGTTGAGACTTGCACTGAGCAAAAATACCTGCCACACAGCTGCTCGTCTCCCACAGCATGGTTTTAGCCAGTTAGATCTAAGGAAATAAAATTAAGAGGAAAAACAAGAAAAGAAAAGAAGTAGTAGTGAAAACCGAAGAGAGCTAAAGAGTAGTGAACTCAAAATGACAAGTTCTGCTGTTACGGATACACTCAGCAATAACGTACAAAGACTTTACAAAACTTTTGGTTTCTTTAGCAAGAAAAACACTTCACAAAAAACTTCACCCTGGGCATCTCGTGTGTGTCTCTAACCCTCTGGAGAGTTCCGGTGTTCACATGCCTTCCCATGCACTGAGTAGCGAACCTGAATTATCCCACATACTTTTCTACTTTCTTCCTGTCTTAATATTTTTTTTTTGACATAGATGCTGCATTCACTTATCTGTGAGTACAAATAGCAGAACTCTGCTAGTAGGTGAGAAGCTAAAGACATTTTTTAAGACTTTCTCTGCTGTTGAATTTTATGCTCATGTACCTTTATCTCTGTTCTAGTATGAGACAAAAGAGCAACAGGAATCTGGAAAACACTGAGGAATAAGCTCAGTGACTCCACTGCTACACCTATACTAGCAAGTACACACAGCCTGGCAAAGTGTCAAGCAGCTAGCCAAGGCTGTCTAGCTTGACTCTTTTTGTCTAACTATCACCAACCTGTTTGTGGACCAGGTCAAAAAGGACTTTCCCAGAGTTTGGGGTAGCACAGTTTTGAGGACAGCATACACCAGGAACTGCTCCCAAATCTAGTTTAGATAAGCTCATCTTGTTTTGGAGGAAAAAGAAGGTTTAGGCAAGATGATGAAGGAAGCTGTGAGGAGGCTGTAAGAACCAGAACTCTGGAAGGAAGTTGATGAATCAGTAAATGTTGCACTAGTATTGTGCTAATGCAGATACACGTTTTCAAATGAGTTGTTTTAAAAAAAAATATTGTTTTTTCTTTTGAAAATATTTGGAATAACAGCAGCACAGACTTCAGAAGCAGAAAGCCCATCCTGATTTTTTTTTTCTCCTAACCTCCCCTTCCCATAGTTTCACTTTGACATTGTTGCCTCATTTCTCCTCAGTGTTTTGTAGTGTTCTTGTACTGGCCCACCTCTGAAAGTTCTAATGTTTGCCTGACACTTCATATCCAAACCACTGTAAATACACATTAGCTAATAAAGAGCTGACATGATTTATTAACTTGGGTTTAAGAAGCTGCAAGCATACAGAAGTGTGGTGCAGTAACTACACTGTCTGAACCAAAATATCATTACACAGACATCAATGGTATACGAGAAGATATGACGATACTGATCAATTCCAAATAAATAGCTCTAAATTCAGTAACTTGTGTTATAATCAAACACTTGGAAAAACATGGCAAAACATTCCCTGACAAACCCACACTTGAGAAAGTGATGCTAAGCAGTGCTCAGAGACACGACACTTTGAAGCAGCTTCTCAGAATTCAGCGTATCAACTAAATACTTGTACTCAAGATTGCCTGATTACCTGACTGAAAAATACCTCCTCACCTGACTCTTAAAACTTCAAAGATCTGACAAGTGTTACTATCAGGAACGTGCCCTTAGTTTAAAGTTGTTATGGTTCTGGTCTGAATACAGAAGGAACTAGATTTTAAATAGGTAAGGGAAAAAAAAAGGCATTGGAATAGAGCTCTTTTGCAAACTTAATCTTTTAATAGATTTTATTTTATACAATCTCAAAACAGGATAACTTGTCTTTACTGCAACCGTTATTTTGAGGTTTAGTGGATTTTTTTAGATCTTTCTAAAGATAATGCTAGGGAATGCCCCTGTTTAAATAGAACAGTTGTTAGTTCTATTCTCTTCCCACATTTATCTTCCTTTTCCCAAAAAGACCCGTTTTCCCAGCATTTTAATACTGCAGGGTAATTTTTCCTCTTTCCTATTCTCAGAAGAGTCAGTAGAGGGCCTAAGTACATTCCTTTAAAACCTCTGTGCAGTTGAGATTTCAATTATACCCAATGTACCAGTAAGAATAAATTAACCGTGATACTCAGCACACATTACATATAGCCATGATAACCATCAATCAAACTAATCATTACTTACAGAATGCTAAAGAACATGGAGTTACTCTGTCTGTGCAGTACTAATTCCAAAAAGCTTCTGAACAAAACTATCAGTTTACAACTGGAAAAGCAATCGACTTTAGAGGTCAAGTGCAGATCATCTGCATGTTTACACCTATACATCACTCATACAATATATAAACTGATTTCAAAGACATAACAGTGTTTAAAATTTAAGCACTGAAAAAACACCTCCAGCTTCATATCTTATTACATCAAGGTGCATTTGTTCAACACTTGCTCTGTGAATGAACAGTGATTGGTGTTTTCACATCACTGCCTAGCAGACCTCTTCCAAGTCCACTGAATCCACTGACATTAACAATCACATGGTGCTCTAAAAGGAGCACTGGATGGTTTCCTTCCTGGGTGCTGCTTAGCCAGCTGTTTCCCTGCTACTTCCACACTCCTGTACAGTAGAGTCCTGATGTTGCCTTGGGTTGTCGTTTTTTGATTTTGAGGTTTGGTTTTTTTAACTTATTACCTCTTGTAAGGATGGACATAAATACTAAAAGCAATTATAATCCAACTAGAAATATATTTTAGATAAAACTATTGACATGCTAACCACACTGGCTCCTAGTACACAAATCTCATCTTCTTCAAC